GTCGTCGGAATCGGTGTCGGAGGCGGCGGCAACGGAGGCGGGACCGGCAGAGCCGTCGGAGATTGTGGCAACGGCACGGAACCGAGTATTGGCCTCACGCCCGACGACGAAAGTCCGTCCTTAGGTATCTTTTTGCTCCTTTTTCCCCACCTCCCTCTTATCCGATCTCGCTCGATTTCTTCGTTCGCGCCTACCCTCGCACTCCACGGCAAAGATTTTTCGTTCTCGTTGGAAAATCCCCGACTTTGTCGGACGAGTCTATCTAGCACGAAAAAATGGAAGTTCGATGGTAATCGATCCGGCGCCGTGACGCGACGAGATTAAAACGGAATGATGCATCTGCAGGACATCAATCCGAGGACGACGGTTACATGAGCATGAATGGACGGAAAGCGAAGATGGCCCTCGTAGCGCTACGTCCGGTTCCAGACTGTCCGGAGCCACAGGATCCCGCTGGAATATCCGCGCAGCAATTTCCCCCGCCGCCGGAGGAAGCCGAACGAATCATTTCCACTTTGTTACCTATGTAAGTTTTCGCCTTCGATTTCGAGCACGGAACAACGTTGTTTGTTCCCTGCTCGAAAACGCGATCGAGGAGAATTTTCATCATCGAAGGTCGTCGACGATCGTTTGTTCGTCAGGGTATCGCCAGGAAATTCGTCGAAGAGAAGCGGCCGTTCGGCGGATCGTCGAAACGGACGGCAACAATGGATGATAGCCATGGAAGATAGCATACGACAGGGAAACGGTAGCTTGGTTACCACTCAAACGACTCTCGTGAGTATTCGGTGAGCCGTGTTTCGAAGAGGGTTTCGAAACGACTCGAAACTCTTTCGAGCTCGGCTGTTCGCGAGCCCGTTATTCTCAAGTTTTCCCCGCGCCTTTCGATCGTTCTGGTCTCGCGAAGATCGACGAGCGCCGTTGCTCGATTCCAATGTAGGTGAATTGTATTTTGGCGCAGCCCAAGACGCGACACCAGAGACCGTACGGATGGGAGAACGGGAACGGAAACGGGAACGAAAAGGGAAACGCGAACGGGAAAGGGAACGGTAACGGTAGTCAACCCCTCAAGCTGGCACAACCTCCGAGTCCTCCGAGCAAATTCGCCAGCTTGCCGTACGACGGCAAGATATCGTTCGGATGGATTCCGCCGAGGACCAATCCGACCACCGTCGAGAAACATCGCGAGGTTAAGCGCCGCTCCTCCGAGGAGGAGAGAGAGGAGGGAGGCGGACTCGACGCGGAGAAGATCGGTAATCGGCAAACTTTCGAGAAAGATCGCGCGTCCCATCTGCGAAAACAACGTCAGAACGAGATCACCAAGTCGAGCAGCGTGGAGGACAGACTGCTGATGAATCACGAGCGATCCGATCGAACGGATCGAAACGATCGGAGAAGGAACGACTCGGACTCGAGCGAAGGCAGGTTCTCGAGAAACTCCGAGTCCGAGAGATCCTCGATTCCCCGTTCCAGTTCGGTCAGCGTCGAGAGGTTCTCGATGCGAGCTACCTGCGACTCGTCCGACTTCTCCAGAGCCAACTCGACCTCGAACGAAAGGTTCCACTCGGACTTCTCGATAGCCGTGGCCAGCGCCAGCTCCAACGATCGAGTCTCGGTGCCGACCTCCGATCCCTTCTCGATTCGAAACTTGGACTTTGCCTCCTTCTCTCTGCCGAACCGAGCCGACTCGAGCGAGAGATTCTCTGCCCCGACCTCGGACAGATACTCCGAGGAGCGTTACTCGGACATGTTCTCCACCAGAAACTCGGATTTCTCCACCAGAAATTCGACGGACTTCCGAACGCAATCCGAGGAGGAACGATTCTCGGACGACTCGTTGGAAGAGCTCTTGCCTCCTCCTCCTCCCATCGGCAAGAGACACTCGATCGCTTGGGAAGTGCCCCTGGAAGACGATCCGCTTTACGCCCCCGGCAGCACCAAGGTGATCGGAAGGAGACGACGGAAGAGCAGCGACGTGTCCAGTAAGTCTCTCGCCTTTATCTTTTCGTGTCTCGAACGTCGAGATTTTCTTTTCTTTATCCTCGTTGAAATTTTTAGGCGTCGGGTCCGCGTCCAAGCTTCGCGATTTGGACGACGAGTGGCAAGATCCGCGACTCTCCACCACCGACGATGACCTGGTTTCTCCGTACTCGGATTCTTCGACTAACGACCTCGACCAAATACGACCGCAAGGATTGACGAAGAACGGCACCTACGTGATACGTCGCGGTCGAAGGAAGGAACGAAAAGGGTTGCCGAAAGCTCCTACCAAAACCAAAAGCTTGTCTTTCGAGAACACCGAGGCAAATCGGTTGTCCGACGCGAAACGATACTCGAGCACGTTCAACGACGTCAGGAGTCTCTTGCGAGAGAACAAAATGGAAACGAGTAACGATCCACCCGCGGAATTCGCTTCGTCCGTTCCTCCCGACCTGGTTCGGGTGGTCTCGCTACCGGCGATCAACGACGATGCCGGTAATCGAGCACAGCTCGAGGTAACGGTCGAAGAGGAGGAAACCTCGGACATTTCCGACAAGGACAAAAAGACGCGAGAGGGTATCGAGCTGCTGGTGCGCTCCTCGTCCTCGGCTTTCGCGTCGTTCTCGCCGTCGTTGACGACCGGCGACGATGCTCGTCGGCTGGACGCCAAACGAGAGAACGTCGAACGAACCGTCACCTGCAACGGGACCTCTCTGTCGGCCTCGAACAGCTACTCGAAAGGGTTCGGTGTCCCCTGTAGCGGAAGAATTTTCACCGGCGAAAACTCGAGCATCGACGAACAGCCGGTTATGAAGAAATCTTCCACCTCCGGTCTCGGTACCACCAGCGAACATCACAGATTATCCTCGAAAATCCCGGTAAACCTATTGATCGAAGACCAGATCGTGAAGAAAGCCTTGAAGGAGAATCGTCGTCAATTGGAGAAAGTCAGCGACGCTATCAAGGAGATCGAAAGCGTTAAGAACAGCGAGTCGTACGCGGAGAACAGACGACGAAAAAGCGGCGGAGCAACGGACGTGAAACATCCGACTAAGAGAAACAGCCTCGAAATCGATCGAACCGAACGGAGACCGATCGACGACGACGACGACGAGGACGAGGATGACGCCGGCGACGGCGACGATGACGACGACGACGACGACGATGATTTTCTGGCCGAATCTCGCGCGAAAAAGCAACGGGACTCTGACATAGAGTCGGACGTTTCGAAGAACAGTCCCGAGACGGATTTCGACGGAAGAAGAGCAAACGGAACGGAAGTTTATTCTTCCGGGAGAAGATCGCGACAGAACGGCGTCGAGAATCATCGAAACGATCAAAAGCAGATCGAGAACGTGATCGATGCGATTCTCGAAGATTCCAAGAACCCGGAATTTCAGGTACGCTTTACAGTTTACAAATGTTTCTTTGCACGATCGATCGATCGACCGTTCACTGTTACGATTGCAGGTGAGCGTCGAGGTTCTAGAATTTCCGCCGTTACCGCCTTCTCCCGTGGAGGAAGCGGACGAGGAGTGCTCGGACATAGGTCAGAACGGTGGCGCAGGCGGTGCGGTAATCACCCCGAAACCTAAAAGCCACAGCAATCGAACGATGGAATACAGGCCTAGAGTTCCGCCGCATCGAGGTCCTACCGGTATCTCTTCTTCCACCGATTCCAAAGATCAGTTTCAAACGTCTCTCAACACCAGATCCATGGACGCTGGATTTTCTCGGGGTAGACGCACACCTACCGCCGGAAATTCCACTAGGCGAGAGGTGGGTTCCTTAATCCGCCCGCTTCTCTGTAGTCCCTTTGAAAACGTGACGCGAATTTTACTCGTATCGTATAAGCTTATAAACGGTTGGAATCGCTTGAATTCGCGACTGATCGATTCGAACGGGTTTTCGTCGATTTAAAGGGTGGAAAAAATAAAGAAGCGCACCAACGCGTGCCATTTCTGGAATCGTAGAAAATAGAGCACCCTCGTTCACCGTCGCGGAAAAGTAGTCGAAGCGAGCAACGATTAGAAAGGGTAAATTCTGCCGTTATATTTTGCCTACGTATTTCATTCTATTTCCGTGTGCAGCTTGTAGAGGAATGCTTCGCGCTCACGTTTTTTATCTCGAGCTTTTAACGCGCGTAGGCTTTTGAATCTTTATTTAATCCCATTTACTCGTGCGGATAAGGAAAACGAATTCTCGTAAACGATGCTCGGAGAAGCCGGCGAATAGCCGAAAGCGAGATGCGGTCAATGCAAATGAGATGGATTTAAGGGAATGCGAGCTGCGTCCAAGTTGGTTAGATGTTCGAGGTGGCGTATGCGCACGAATACGTGCTCACGCGTCTCTTTCAAGGTTTTTGCTGGAAAAGAGCATTCGGCTGTTACTAAGAGGAGGAGGAGGAGGTGGTTACGATTCAAAGGAATTCACCGTATCGCGAATCGCGTCGTCGCGTCGGTGGTTTTTCGGTATCGCTGGCGCCCCGGCGTCTCCGTGCAACGACTTCCCTCGAAAATCGAACGGTAAATACGAGAAAAGTCGCTCGGCGAAACCTTGAAATTTATCTCCAACTTTCTTGCGTCCCGACAATTCGAATAAAGGGGAAACGCGAAACGTCTATTCATCGACGAACGAAAGTTGGACGCTTTCGTTCGATCTTTCCAACTACTTCCGTTGCTACTCGCGTATTAACGAATGTTTTCTCCGCAGCAAATCCCGGTGGAAAGACGTACTTTGCCTACGGATTTACCCGGACCTTCGCGGCGGCGACCCTTCACGAAAAGGCACTCGC